AGAGAAGGAAAAGAACCGACTGATTATATGGAAAGAGCAAGTTACATACGATTAACCAGTAAAAAAAGGATTGGATTAGTTCAGGTATAAGCACAGAAATAAATCTGTATACGACCATTTCGATTCTTGGAGAAATACAGTCAGTGTGTAAGCGGTGCTAAGAAGTAGAGACTTTGCTTTCCTCTTGAAGCTTAGTAAATAAGTCAGAACCAATTCATGTTTGACACAAAGCACTGAGATTTACAGTGAAGGAAGGAAGCATGCCTGATAATGAAAAATAAACAGATGCTAAACTCTGTCAAATATTAAAAGTAATGAGCCGCAGATTCCAGCCTAGTCAGCCATGACCTCGATGTGTCTCCGAAACAACAAAATAACTTATAACATCAAGAAATATTCAACAAGTGCAACGTGTTTTATGGGACTTACGGTATGCAGTATATTACATGAATTTAATGATGCCTGGGAAACAATGGAACGAGTGGAAGATATTACATTCTCTGGTTCACAAAGTCACAAATTGTAATTTCTCAGATACATTTATTAAGTCACATCCTATCTGTGAATCAGTAGCTTCTTAATGTATTCAGACCTGTAACATAGTGTGCTCCCTTGTTTCGGGGAATATGTGGGCTTGCATCCATGCTGTGCTCCGTGCCTCAGTGTGGAGATCTGTGTGTGTGTGTATGTGTGTGTGTGTGTGTGTGTGTGTGTGTGTGTGTGTGTGTGTGTGTGTGTGTGTGTGTGTGTGTGGTGTGTGTGTGTGTGTGTGTGTGTGTGTGTGTGTGTGTGTGTGTGTGTGTGTGTGTGTGTGTGTGTGTGTGTGTGTGTGTGTGTGTGTGTGTGTGTGTGTGTGTGTGTGTGTGTGTGTGTGTGTGTGTGTGTGTGTGTGTGTGTGTGTGTGTTATTTCTATTATGTCGCAGTGATGATGTTGCACTGGCAAGCATGCGTTCATGCGGGCCTCTGTCCAAACCTCCCCATCCATGCTGAACGTGCCTGGTCACAGCAGGCCGGTGAGAACCTCTGGATCACAGGGGGCTTCTGGGTAGTGGGATTAGCTGGTGAGAGGAAACAGCTGAGGCCCGTGTAGCGTCAGCACTTGCTAATCAACACTCCCACCACACACATGCAAGCCACCCCAATCTATGCTCCCCCTCCTCCTTTTTTCACAGGGGTCAGGCACCCACAAAGGCCAACAAAAGCCAAAAAGGGGCAGGGGAGGGGGGGGGGGGGGTGTTGAGGGCATGAAGGGAGGGGACAAAGGCAAACTGAAGTGCTTGGTCAAAGCTGACAGAGCTGCTGAGTCATCACTGATGCTGGCTCAAACGGATAATTTGCAGAAATTGTGAGTATGTTTGATGAGCTGTCACTTTGTATTCAACATGACGGTTTTTGGGCTGATGCTTAGAGGCTGTGTTTCCCTTTCTTTACACGTCCGTTACTGCAGAGTCCTGCGTCACTGAGGACATTTAGAAATCTCACTTATGCAAGAGGACTGACATTTGTCCTTTTTTTCAGAGATCACACTGGACACTTTGTTCCAGCTTGACCTATAGGCCTATACGAGACACGCAGCGGCACAGTGCTTTCATTCCTATCCGGCGTGATCGAATTTGCTGAGCTCATTTGTGCATACTTGCTGGTATTCGCCAACAAAATCAATTAGTGTAAAGCCAGGATGACGTCATACACAAGCTGAGTAAAATTGATTGACAACACACTGTTGAACGTTACGTGTAGGTCAAATTAGCAGAATCAAAACAACCCTGTTTCCATTTCATGTTTTTAAAGCTAGGATAGACGCTATACAATCAGAAAATATTGGTGTCTGTAAATGCTACTAGTATACAAACTGTAGTATCATATAATGTCCTTTGTTTTCTGTCATGTTTGTATTAATGTTTGGAACTAATTGAAGCAGGTCACCATTGTAAAAGAGGTCTATGATCTCAATGGGTTTTATCTGTATAAATAAAGGTTTTGAATTGAATTGAATTGAATACACAAGCTGAGTAAAATTGATTGACAACACACTGTTGAACATTACGTGTAGGTCAAATTAGCAAAATCAAAACAACCCTGTTTAAAGAAACAAATGATACTACAGGGATTACAGAACTAAGTACAACTCCTGCAAACACAATAAAATAACTACTTGCCAACACAAAAATAAATTAAATGTGTTAGTTAATAAAAGTCATTACCTGATGATTGAACATTGTGTATTGGCAATTACTAACGATTATAGAAAAATGTGTAGTACATTCAATTATTGTGCTGATACATTATGCTCTATCATTGCTCTGCTGCAGGCCACAGTGTCCCCTCGTGTGCATGCATCTTTCAGCAGGGATCAATAAATCATGGGTTTTGTTTTACGTGACTGTAGTTCACTTGGCCTGAAGCCATGGACTGCTCTCAGGTTTCACTGAGGTTCCTCGAGAGGGGACTCATCCTCAGGCTTATTACTTTTCAAAGGGGGAAATATCTAAATAATAATTAAACATTATGCTTTTTGGCACACATCACATGGGTCATAATTAGTTGGTTTGTCTAAAATGTGTGATTTAAAAATATTTCAACCCTGCCTAGTCAGATTTAAAGGATCCCTATTGTGCTCATTTTCAGGTTCATATTTGTATGTTATGCTTCGACTGTGACATGTCTCCATGCTTTAATGTTCAAAAAGGTCTTTATTTTCTCATACTGCAGCACCTCTTTTCACCCTCTGTCTGAAACCAGAGCCCAGTCTGCTCTGATTGGTTAGCTGGCCGGGTCTGTTGTGAGATGTAGAGATGTCCCGTCCCTTAGCCTTTCACCTACAATGCCAATAAAAGTGAATGTTACATGGTGATGTCATTATGTTACGGAGGTAAACAAATTAGTTCAATGGAGGCATTTCAGGCAGGGGGGGGGGGAGTGTAACTTTGAGATTTGAGCCTTTGCAGACCATTTACATGCACACAAACCTATATGACACACTGCAGCACGTGTCAAACTCAAGGCCCGGGGGCCAAATCAGGCCCTTGGTGGATTTAATTTCGGCCCGCAGGATAATTTTTAATTACTATTAGATCTGGCCCGCCGGTATATTGAATGCACACCTTCACTCAACCCTGAGGGTCTCCTCCGCTCAGAGCCTGAGCCCAAACATTGATGAACTTTCACCCAGGATGAGATGCCAAGTATCTGCTTGAGCTAGCATCACAGAGCAGCAACCTGAGTTCAATGGATGTTTCCTTCTGCACTTTGTTTCTTGAGACAACAGGGCATGTTTGTTTTGTTCTTTGAGGGAAATAGTTTTGTTGAAGCTGTTGTTGGCCTGTGGAAAAATGTAATCATAAGAAATGACTCTGCAGATAGATCCATAAGAAATGAATGCAACTGATTATTTAATGTTTAATGTTGTTTTTATAGGCAATAATTTAAGCTTTGTTAGTTCCAGGTTTAATATGTGCAATAAATTAATTTCAATAAGTTTTGCAACAAACATTGAACCAGTCCGGCCCTCGACTAGTACCCATTTTTTTATTTTGGCCCACTGTGTATTTGAGTTTGACACCCGCTGCACTACAGGAAAGGGAAAACCCCAAAAAGCACAATAGTGCCCCTTTAACATGGAGTATTTGATGGACTTTTCTTCTCCACCAATAAAGCCAAAGTGAGCCAATAATAAAAGGTCACATAATTCACTTTGCCTGGTACTTAGGCAAATAGGAAAGTACAGATGTTCTAACCGGCTTTGCTTCTCCTTCTCTGACCTGAGGGTCCACAGTGAACCAATGGCACTCCTTTTGTTAAAGACCAGTGGACATGTACAGACGGAGAGAAAGAAGTCCTGAGCCATTTCACTTTAAAGTACTACTGTCAGTTTCAAAGCACTGAAGGCTCAAGGGCAACATTACATTTCTGATCTTCTGCTACATTACGAAACCATCCATGTCTGCTTCAGAGTATAGACTAAGCATGGAGAAGCACCGTCGGTTTTTTATGCTCCATATATCTGGAACAAACTACCCGAAAATTGGAGGCCTGCTGTAAATAATTCATTTTCAATCCAGGCTGGAGACTTTTCTGTCTGCTGCTACGTTTTATTGAATCAAATAACTATTCATACTAAGTACTGTCATTTTTATTCTTGTATTTTATATCCTATCTTATTCTATGTTGGCTCATTTTTAAATGTCTATCTCTTGGCTTTATAAAATGCTTAATACGGATTGTCACTTACTTCTGATTTGTTTGACGGTCATAATTGGTTATCTCCATTACTGAAGTCAGATGGGTCACATGCGGCCGCAAGGAATCGTGGGACAGCATTAACTTTCCTTTAGTGACGGATGGTCCAGTGTGTCCAAAGTCATCAGGAACCTGGGGATTTCTCTGAGCTCTTTTTTTAAATGTATTTAAATTACATTTTATAATATGTTTGTTTTTTACTGTGTCTTATGCTTTTAACGTTTTTGTAAAGCACTTTGAATGGCCTTGTTGTTGAAATGGGCTATATAAACTCGCCTTGCCTTGTTTTTGGACACTTGAGACAATACATTACGTTTCTCTTCTGGGCTGTTTCCATCTCTGACATCAAAAGAGCTAATAAATCATCTCTAAATATAAGTAGGATTTGTTTTCAATTAATATTTAAACGTATTCAGTGTAGTCCAATTTCCTGCCAGCACAGGCCAGATGCAGTGTTTTGAACCACCTCCAGGGGCAGTGTTGTACTAGTTTTTAAAAGGATCATCTGTATCCAGTAGAGTGTAAACCTGTTTGCTTCTAATCTGAAACTGTGATGACCCAAATGAAGTCGATGTGGGGGTAACGTGGGTAAATGATTCATTTAGTTGCAGCTTTGACTCTGTATGCTTTTGAAGGGCTGGTCTGTGGTCATTCTTTCAAACACTGCTGCTCAGACTGCTTTATCTTCACCAATTAATACCCAAAAAGCGTATAGGGTGCACTTGTATGATTGTGTTCAACAAATTCAAGACACAGTCCATTGTAATTTAGAACAAAAATGTTTATTCAAATCAAAAGGAAGAACTAGACAAAAGGTTAAACCATTCAGAACATAGCATATTCATAGAATATCTATACATCGTCATGTTTGAAAGAGATCAAAAAAACAATACATACAAATGGAGAATGAGGAAAAGTCAGTGAGTGATATTGCACTTTGTTTCTGAAATGTCTCAGATCCTGTCTCCCAGGTTGTTTTTTTATCTGTGAACATTTCAGTTCCTGCCTTTATCAGGTCAGGAGTTTAGCTTAGTTTTGACACTGGATTACTCTGCGGCCCGAGCACATGGACTATGGAATCGGCCAACCTGAAACATATACATAAGCTTATTCATTAGCATGTAGCTTGATCCAGTTTCCCTAAGATAAAACCCAAACAAAAAAAAGTGTGGAAGAAGTTCTGTCTGCTATCCCAGGTTAGCTAAATGTTTAAATGATACGGGGGAAGGGTTGCTGATCAACAGCTGCCACCCCCCCGCCCGGGATCAGAGAGGTCAGGGAGACTAACTCAGGAAGGTTGCTTGTTAAACTAGGAAGCAAACTATATTAATGCCCAGAAATACATGAAATCATCTTCAGAGCCTGTCCAGGATCTTGCTTCAAAAAAAGGACTTTTTTTTTTATATCCTCTTCCCTTTTTGTCCTTGAAACATGGAAAGGTCTAAAGACATACAGGTGTGAACAAACAAGAGTTAACGTAGACGCTGAACAATGATCAGGTCTTTTTCTGTGTCAAGGCCACTAAGATAAGATCACTTTAATAATCTGCAGTTTGTCGATTACTCTCTGAAGCCGTTTAGTTAGTTGCCAGCTGGATCTCTGTAAGAGCGTACACACACACACACACACACACACCTGTCACCATTTTAAAGTTGCTAATCTTAACAAAACATTTAATTAACGTCCTACTCAGCACTGCTTTACTGAATAACTCCTAACTACCAATTTCTCCAGACCTTCACCATTGAATGCTTTTTAATTATTATTTTAATATGTATTTATTAAAAGAGTGCTGCTTTCCTTCTTTTCCTGACTATGCCAAACCTCTGCTGCAGCTGGTCTTTTGTGTTGAATGAGTGAGAAACCAATGTATTACTCATGTCAACCTACTACTACTACTACTACTTGTTCTGACCGAACTGAACAAAGGTTTGGCAACGTCGCCATCTTTTTTTTTTTTTTAATCTGTGCTGGGTTTTGCTTCTTTAACACAGAAGCAGGGTCACTCGTTGTTTTTTATAGTTAGCATTCTGGCTTCACTGGTCTGGTTGGATGAATTGGGCAAGTGCAGTGGGACAAACAAAGGGAATGTGATACATCTCAGAAAGCTTGCTTCACTGCGGGTCTAATCTCTCGTTTTTGGAAAATTATTCATTATTTTTAACAGTGCATTTAAAAAGCTAAAACATCTTTCTCTTTTTTTCCCCCACCAAACGTTTGGCAAGTGAAGACGACCACCTGAGACAGTGCTTGTTGGGCAGTTATGCAAGCCTGGTTAGCCCTGAGATTAGGAGTAGAGGGGCTGCAGGTAATAAGGGTGAGGCGAGTCCCTCCACAATCCACGCTCAAACACACACACACACACACACACACACACACACACACACACACACACAGACAGACACAGACACACACTTTTCTCTTCAGCTACAATTTGAGTGGCAAATGCAGGTCTGCAATCCTCGTAGTCCAAATTCAGAGCAACCTCAATACAAAAAGAAGCTTTTCTAGGATTGGGGGCTAAATACAAGCTAACAGAAGTAAAGTAAAAGAGGAGGGAAGCCACACGTGGATCCAAGCTGAGGAGGCAACATCTTAAAGAGCCTCCAGATGGAAAATAGTGAGCTGACGTTGTCAAAAAAAGTCTAGTCATTATGAGTCATACGAAGAGGAAATGTCATAAGGAGAAAAAGAAATATCTTCTACAAATTCAGTGCATTGTTCTTGTCCTTGTCAAATCCTGTTGTCAGCGTTGCTCGAAGTGATGCAGAGGAAAAAGGTAAGCCTTGAAGGCTTATATTCGTAGTCTGGCGCGTTACAAGGCTGGAACCAAACTATTAGTGATTTTTTTTTTTTCATTAAACAGAGCCACACAACTCAAGAATAAAATGTGCAAAACAAAAATCCAAAATTGAGGCAGGAGGAGTTAGTCTTTGCTCTGTTATTGACTGCTGCCGCCGAGTGCTCTCATTCATACGGTGGTTAGAACGTCGTTACGTTGCTCTCTTCGTCCTGTTTTCTTTAGGTGATTCTGCTGAAGTCGGGACATGATGAGTCCTGCCTTTTGTGTGAGGAGCCATGTCCTTATGTGCCATGAGTACAGAAGAATCAAAAGGTTAAAGAGGAACTTTAGCAGGCCGAGCCTCGCCGATTCTTCATCGTCAATACTATCAGCGGGGCTCTCGCTACCGGTGGGGTTTGAATCATACAGGCTGAATATGTGTTCCTCTGTATACATCCCCCCCTCAGCAGGCTGACAGGAAGGAGGCGATGCCCCAAACTAGTGGCTCCCGTTTCTCTCGCTGAGGAGAGGCAGGAACAGATTTGTCCAACTCGACTGTGGATATGTGTCCAAGTCTTTGTCTGTTGGTGGGACACTTTGTTTTTCTCCGACGTCAACAGCGTTGTGTGAACGTTGTTGTTGGAGAAAAATAAACAAAGCTGAGCCTTGCAAGCAGGTTTCTTTCTTAGAGATCCCCGAGTCGCTCAGGGGAATTTCAGAAGAACCCTTCAGCGTGACGGACAGGCGTCCAGTCTGCGCTCCTCTGTGCGTCTGGCGTGCTCTGGGTTAGGATCGATCTGGAGAGGAGAGAGGACAGAAACATGTTGATTTTGCTTGAAATGTACTCAAATATAAATACAAAAGCTCTACTTGATGTTATTTAGTTGAGTGGCGTTGCTGTGAGTGGCAGTCTGTTTTGGCAGCCCTCCAGTTTGACTCTAATCAATACTGTCACTTAGATTTGTGATTTGTTACTCTTATTATCCTTGTTTGAACTCCTTTCTGTCGCTGCAACGACACCTGAAATCCCTACAGGGATTAAAAAAGGTTTATCGTAACTTATTTACAGCTAATTGTTATTGTACTGTGGTTTTTCTTTGTTCTGGTATCACTATTGAACTCATGTTTCGTACACAAGTCTTGTGTACTCTATAACATTGTGATTTTTAACATTATTTAGGTGAAGGCTTCAAATGAGCTCAGCGGGTTTTCTGCCTCGTCCTGCACTGTGTGTTCTGTTATTGGTAGATGTGTGTATGTTAAATGGTGAAACGACAATAAACAAACCCTACGGTGCTTACCTCAGAGTACAGAGGAGGAGGCTGGAAGCGGAACTCGTGAATGTAGGCGAAGAGCGGTCCGTTCAGATCCTCGCGGGCCGCAGGGACGTCCAGACTGCTCTGCCTCTGCTCTTCTGTCACAATCTCTGCATAGCTTGGAGGAGCTGCAGAGGAGGAGCAAAACTGCATGTTAGCATCCTAGCTAAAAAGGAAGTTATAAAATCTGCATCTTGACCTTGAGATCCAACCTACCTTCAGGCCTCTCGGGCAAACCCATGCCCAGCCAGCTCATGCTGCACTGGCTACTGACGCTGGAGGTCCGGGAGCCAAAGGGGTGGAGCGGGATGGTGCCGATGACCAGGGGCAGGTTCAGGGACAGGTTAATCGCCCCGGGGATGTCAACGTACACCTGAGCACAGAAATAAAGACACCAGTTAGAATAAGGGCTTTGGCGCTAACCATACAGCATGAAATTACATATTTGTAATCTTCTTTAAATTATGCAAAATCCACTTGTTCATGTCTCTTCTACATCAACATGTGTCCCCTCTGTGGAAAGAGATTCTGAAAATGTCTTCGATCACTTTTTGTCCTGATCCATTTCTATAAAAACCTGTCTGAAAATGAGCTGATCAGATTCTGGCCACTTTATGATGTCATAACGATTTTTTAGGCTTGTATAACCATTAGCCAATCACAGACCAAGGTACCCCCCCCCCCCCCCCCACACCTTATCACCTGAATCTCCTCCTAGAGCACTATTGTGTTCTTTTTAACCAAATCTCTCTCAGAGAATCAGCACTTTTGAAACAGGGCTGAAACAGAGGGGATTATGGGTAATGCTGCAATGATCTGTTTGGTATTTGGAGCCAAACACTTCAGAGACATGTTCTGTATATATCTGAGACCTGTAATATATTGATGAAAAACAGTATAATAGGGGACCTTTAAGATGAAAACACTGTACTGGGCTAAATGTGTAGTCGTTCTACAAAATGTGGGTCAATGACTTTAGGGTTGATTATGCAAGGTAAAGAGGTTATAAGCACCCTTAAGACAGGCGCTACTAAGAATATTCTGGGCTAATGCTCTTAGCAGCATGTGGAGATAACACCTGGTGGAATCCAAGCCTGAGTCAGCCAAATCCTTAACCAGGGTTATTGGCCTACTAGGAAATATTGATTCTGTGCTGAGTAATGGTGATAATAAAGGACAAGAGGAGAGACAGTAACGACCTGTGTGTTATGCCAATGATCTCTATGCTGAATGTGATGTAGGACAAGCCCAAATATAGCAAGACTGTGCTCACCATGAGGGAGTACTCCACTCTGATGATGCTGCAGTCCAGGATGGAGGGGGACACAGGTGGGATCTTCAGCATTTTGCCGTTCCAGGTCTCCGTTTTGCCCGAGGACAGAGACTCTCCCCGCAGGTTAGCCACCAGCTGCTTCACCTCCTTCATCTTCCCTTTGGCATAGAAGGTCTGGGACTGGTAAATGGCTGCCTTTGGCACCACCATGCGGGAGGAGCAGTTCTCAATCTCTGCAAAGATCTGGATCGACTCTCCTACAGAAATAGAGATGGTAGACGAGAGGTCAATTGATGTTTTTCTATCAATGGAAGACATCATCTTTCTATCTAGTCGGATCAATGCAGCAACAACGTATCTGGTTAATAGATGACTCAAAGGCTTATCAGTTGCATTATAAATCTTTTACTTATTCTTACCTGGGGTGTATCCCTTCCTTTCAATTTTGGCACTTAGGGAAATAGGACCTGAGGTGCAGAACCAACAGCAAAGAGTCTTGTCTTTCGTGCCGGCCTGTGGTGACTGAAGAGAAAAGAAAACGGGTGCATTAGCAAAAATCTGGATATTTCCTATATTCCCAATCTAACTTGGATAAAAGGTTATTATATTGAACAAACTATTCTGTTTCGTGCTATTCATTCGGCAATCAGTCAACATTTGCAAAGATTATGTTTAGACTGAGCCTCACTGAATTCAGATTCCCCAGGGACAAAGACACAATTAAAAGACACTTTTAAATCTTAAGGTTGTTTCAAGACAACTTACCAGCAATAATGGAGTGTTGATGTCAATGTGCTCAAAGACTGTGAATTCCTTCTTGGTCTTCATGGGCAGGAGCCATGGCCTGTGGAGTTCTGCTTTTACCCAATAGCGCACACTGCCATGCTTCCCTTCGAAAGAGGTAGCCAGAGGTCTACATGTAAGAAAAATAAGCGAAAGGGTTACATTAACAGTCAAAAGCTTACACTACTACAGCTGAATAATGATGTTGATATTCCGTGACTCAGGGGCAGTAGACACTCACGTCTGTGGAAGCTCGAAGCTGAATGCATACTCATGTCTTCCTGAAAGGATAGTGGTGAGTCCTTCCTCCGAGTTGTCATCGTCTGAAAAACAAGGAGGACAATATTCCAAACACATGTATACCATACCTGGGCAAAATGCTCTACGAAGGCATCTGAAAGTCATACCAAAAACACAGGGTGGGGGAGACAAAAGAGAATAACGGATTTTACTATCATATCGCTCTGAAAGAAATATGTATATAGTTGAGTTTAATACTAAGAGCACACCAAAGATTGTTTAAGGTGCCAGAAACTGAGCTTGCAAGAGTGTGCTTTTGCATGAACAAAGAAAGACTCGTCCCTGAGTCCATTGTGTAATATGTGATGGGAATAGAGAGGCTATTATGGGGAAACTGGGCTATATGGGGCATCAATTAAATCCCTATCGATGGATTAATTTATCCAAATAACCAATTCGTTTTTCATGTATCTCTGAAAAGCAAGAAAGAATCGTTTCCATCCAGAGGGAGGAGGGGACCTTTGTTTGCACCTTAAAAAAAGCTTGAAAAATATATATATTGTAAAAAATGTTTAAATAAAAACATCAAGAGCTGGTTCGAAAGGCCGGGTGTGTTTCTGCCAGCTCAGCAGTCCCTCCCCCAGCAGCAGCAGCAGTGTGGTAAACAAGTGCAGAGCTGTCAGTCAAAAGGCAGACTCCAGCAGGAGGAGACCGGCCTAAACCAGTGCGAGCAGCTCCACAGCCGCTGCGCTCATTACGCATTCACTGTGCGACACCGCAGCCACTACTAATCCACAACCAGCCGGTTCCCCACACCGACTACCGCAGTATTTCACCGTTGTATCCATTTTATCATAAGAAATGCTTTATAGACAGCGTTTTGTCGAAATGTATTCGGTCGGAGAGCATTATTGGCGAATGGCGTGGCATTGCATCAATGTATCTCCTTATTAAACCTCAGCTCGAATATTAATTAATAATTTGCTGTGCAATTTGCCTTAAAATTACTAAGTCTATCGGTGTGACAGCCAGACAAACCTCTCATGCTCCACACACAAAAAAGGCTGCTGCAGAGGAACTATTTATTTCTAACGCCAAAGAAACACACTGAAAATGCACCTCAATATATAAACCGCTTATACTATGAACACTGCAGCAAAATCCTGAGAACGAACCAAATTATGATCGACCATATAATATGTTATGCTCTACAGCAACAAAACAAAAAAAGTGCAGATGGGCTAAACCCAAACCATTATAAAAAGGGCACCCATGCACTTACAAGCGTTTTAAAAGTATGCATTTGACTATAAAAAAAACGTCTGTGCGGATAAAGTGACGACAATATGTCTGAAGCACAAACCAGCTGACAATAAAGCCCAACCTACAATCGTATTACTTTCCAATTAAACATAGGCCTATAGGTGCAAAGGAAACACATTCAATGCAAAACAACGGAGAGATTTCCAGCGTTTCATATCATTTGAAACACTACAGGTGCTTCGATCGAGCCTTTCCATTTGGCAGGTGTTTCTTAATTAAAAAGTTGCAGAATTTTCTGTCACTCGCTGCAAAAAAGTGATGTCATTGGCCACACATGAGCACCTCAGCCAATCACACACGGGTGAGGGAGGGGGTTTGCGTCTTAGCTCCGCCCCCTCCCGGTCCAGTTTTCTGAACAGGATTGAACCGCTTTGAACAATGGGTGGAAACTTAAGAAAAGCTACAAAGAAACACCAAATATGATGCGTTTCTGCACTGAAAACGCTTAACAAAGCTGCACATACATCACTGCAATATATGTATCTATCGTCCTGTGTCTCGAATACGCCGACTTCTCGCTTTATGATTGAAATACTCTGAAAAAAACAGATGCCCCAAGCTGCTGTCATTCATTCTGACACCTTAACACAAACAAGTAACGATGGAGCTCCATAGACCCAAAGTCACAAAACTCTTTACGCAACCGCATTACAAAAGAGGTTATCATTTATACACAATTATTCCAGTATATAAAATGAGCTTTGTTACTGACATTCAGGACAAACGGCATCCTCCAGCACAAAGAGCATCAATATAAAACTTATATTAAAAAAATAATAATAAAACTCTCTTACCTCTCTCATGCCCAATTAAGATATCTTTGTGATTTAGATATTCCACTTCTTCTGTGTAGTTTTGCGTGTAGGCAGTGTTGGATCCAGCATTTCTAGATTCAGTCCAACGAACTTTGGCAAATCCTTTGGCGTGGATTTTGAGGGATTTGACTCGGATTTCTCCGGTGACTTCGATGATCACCCTCCCTGAGACGCAGTCCCCGCTGGAGAACACGGGGACGTTGCTGTCATTCAGACAGTCGTAGCTTACTCTGAAGCTCTTTACCTTTCCTAGCACCATGGTGGAAAGAGTCAGGCTACAGAGACCTTGAAATAAAAAAAAAGGAGTATATGAAAAAATAATTTCATATAAAAAAGGGATGCAGTCTTTTAGACACTGATCAGTATCTCTGCCTTGCCAAAAGCAAAAGGCACGATCAGTGGTTTATGTGCGGGCAGGTCATTGAGATGTGTGATGGCTGAATAACAGCAAAGGGATGCTGCTATCATCCTCCTCTCTGCTCGATGGTCTCCAGTCAAAGACAAGGAAACCCCAGTAGCTCAGCTCACTTTAAGCGAGAGGCTGTGTGAAAAACAACCTTCCGCGCATGCGCAGGGCTCCACTGCCCCCTCCTTCCGCCTTCTGGAACAAGGCTTTGAGCCAGATGACAAGTTTGGTCAAACAGCTGAAAGACTGCACAAAGAAATGTTCACTACGTCAGATTAATAGTTTATTCTTTACAGTTCATTTGGTATATTAAAAATACATGAACACATATACCCCCAAAAAGTGTCAACCCTACTGTTTTTCAATATTTTCATTCAGAGATCTATTCAAGCAACATTTTCACTCTTTATTATATTATGATGATGTGATAACATTCAGAACATAGTGCATCACCTCAGAAATCTACATTTTCCAGCCTGATGTCTAGACTTTTAAATCCCTACAAATTCAGCTTTGAAATAATCCACACATATGGTCTCATATATCCAGACACACTACAGCCTCCACCAAACAGAAAACAACAGAGCTGCATCTTGCATGGGGCCTGCAGTAAAGACACACCATGTACAATTGCTGGATTCTTCTATGTAGCACTAGGATTTAAATTTGGGTGCACACATCTGCAAAAAAACAACTATATATTGGTCTTTTAGATATATTGTTTTTGTGGTAAGATTAAAATGATCCATGCACATATGGGGGGTTGGGATTTCTCATTGTGTGGAAGTCACAGTTTGTACAAAAACAACTCTGGAGCTCAAGGAGCCCTCTGGTGGTCATCAACGCTTTTTTACCATGAGCTGCAGCATCACCTGTTGAACATCAATGTGAACAACTCATTCAACTCATGCAGAACAACAACCCTTTCATTGGGATTTCTTTACAAGGTGCCATATTACATCATCAATTCAAATCAAATTCAAATTAAAGGAATTTGGTGCATTGTATATTTTGTAGAGGTCAATGGTTGCAAGATATATGGCATTAGAAATTGGATGGCGGTTAATTAAAACCCAATTAAAAAAAATCTAATTAGAATTGTAAATATTATTTAATGCAATTCTCTTATAATTTAAAAAAATGCCATAGAAGTCACGTGATTCTATTTGATTTCACCATTTATTGGCTAATTATATATGTAGTTTCCTTTCTCATAAACACATTGACATACCCTCCCGGGACCCAGCCCATTGAAAATGTCCACTGTAGTGGACATTTTGTTAACATGCATCTCCTTTTACTCTTTTGAGCTACTCTATCAATCCCTGATGTGCTGTACAGAGGACATCCTGGTCTTTCCAGTGATATGTCATTGGTTAAAATTGCATGCTGGGAAGTTCCTCTTTCTTTTCATCCAAAATGGCTGGCATACGAAAAACAAAATTGTATAGAAGCAGGAGAAGTCAAATATTGTTGAATAATTGTCATTTTTACCATGAAAATCATATATATTCTTGTTTATTAACATGTGAGGAACTATATAATTAGTTCTGAAAGCAATTACATAATTCAAGTTTTCAAATAACAGCCCTTTTATAAATGTCCATTCTAGTGGCACCCCCCAGTGACCATCTTCATGGACTTTATGACTCAATATTGTTGCAGGAGACGGAACTGAAGCAGACATTTTCTGTACCAGATAGTTCAGGGAGATTATGTTTTGAGCTCTCAGATGATGAGAGAGGTGAGGCTTTCACACCTGTGATAGAAGAGGGTCAAGAAGAAGGGGGGGAACGATGCAGGAGGCTCCATGAGCACACAGATACAGACAGAGAGACAGATAGGGACGAGCTGGAAAGACATGGCCCCCTGTGGGCCAAGAGTAGCACGTATGTCTTATTGTTGTTTTTATTTTAAGTGGAGCCATGAAAAATGAGAATTGCCTCAGGAATGTCAAGTTTGTTTCTATGAGCAGGTCAAATGGAGACCACATCCATACAACTAGTCAAGATGACCCTACAGCTCGTGCTGACTGGAGTCAATGAGGTACTTTCCCACTACATTGACTACAAAGTCTTTGAAGATCTGGAAAGATTCACCAAAAACCAAACTAGTTTTGTATTGACCAAATAAAGAGCAATGTTCAGATCAATTACTTATTCATGTTTTAAATAAAGGTGAATGTATTCTTGTATTAATATCACTCTATAACCATAATACGTTACATAGTCCATCTGTTAATTTTGGCTGTCTTTTCAAACTAATATGGTCCAGACGTCCTCTACTGTAACATTTTAAAATAAAATACAATAAAAAAAGTCTAAATTGCAAGATGTTTTTGTAACCCTAAATAGGTAGGAAATCACACCAAAAAAAGGAAATTGGAAGACACGTTTTCCTCGGGTCCCAGGAGGATACTGTACATCTGTGACACTGTAATGCGTCAGTAGTGCCAGCTCAACAATATTGTGTAGCACAGAGGTTTTGATAAACAGATGAATGTCGCCCTCTAGAGTTTAAAATGTATCATTACACATTAGTAGTGTTCATTTTAAATGTGGAAAAAAAGCTCTTATTTTGAAAGCGTAACCGGGAAGTTTATATCAAGTCCCCCAGACCTGAAAAGTTCCCGTTTGCTGTCAAAGAGGAACACTTGTATTCATCATCAACTCCAGACACATCTCTACTTTAACGATAGCAAACTAGCAGTTTTGGAGCAGGTGAAGCATGAACAAAGAAGTGTTGTCTTTGATATTCCTGTTTCAAATGTATGGTCAAAGTTTTTGCCGAAATGGAACCAGACCCAACATTGTGATGGTGATGAGTGATGCATTTGTAAGTATGAATTAAGTCAGACAACAGTGCTTTACTAATGTCTAGTAACTGCCACAAACACAGTAGCCTTTAATTCATCTGTTTCATGCTAAATCTCTATGTGAGGACAGTCTTATAGTTCAAGATTAAACACCATATAGAGGCTTTTCCCCAACATTTAGTACTTTTTCTGTGTCTCAATGTTTCCTCTTATTGTAGGATGGGCGATTGACCTTTGACCCTGGCAGCAAAGTTGTGAAGCTGCCGTATGTAAACTACCTCAGGGAGCTTGGTACCACATTCCTCAATGCTTACACCAACTCCCCCATCTGCTGCCCCTCAAGAGCAGGTAAGGTACCCAAAGACACTGGGGACAAACATATCATAGTCATTTAATAAAGGTGGAATCATGAATGTATTTCACCTTTATCATATTTGTTCCCCAGCGATGTGGAGCGGTCAGTTTGTTCACCTCACTCAGTCTTGGAACAACTACAAATGCCTCGATGCTAATGCAACAACATGGATGGACTTGCTGGAGGAGAATGGATATGTGACCAAGTCCATGGGAAAGCTGGACTACACCTCAGGGAGTCATTCTGTCAGGTAGGCAGAGCAACTGTATTTAAGATAGTTGTATGAGATGTGTCGGATAAGAAAACCTGCATTTAATAGATTAGATTAAATTCTATATACTTTATTGATCCCAAATTGTTGTTGTCACTACAGCATGTTAACAGGCATTATACATGTGTTGAAAATACAATAAAATAAAACAAAAAGTACACATCGACAGTATTAGCTATAAGTACAAGATAAATAGAATAACTAAAGAATACATAATATATGGAATACACAGAATAAGTTAGAACACACCATAATCGTCCGATCTACAAATATTGTCCAAAGTTATCAATAATAAAACATACAAGCCCATAGACACAGAAGAAGTGTTAGAGACTCACTGCTTGAGTGAATTAGTAATACTGTGTATGTGAGCACCTATTCTTCAGAACAGTGTGAATCATCTTCTTGGATGCTTCTTTCGTCTTTCCATTTCCTTTTTTTGTGTCTAGACCTGCATCTTCTTGTAATTGTGTAATTTCTGCAGTAATCGAGTTGAGGCCTGGACACGGGATGTTCAGTTCCTCCTGCGCCAAGAGGGCCGGCCTGTTACTCGACTTGTTGGGAACATGTCCACAGTGAGGATCATGAGAAAAGACTGGGAAAACACAGACAAGGCTGCGCAGTGGATCCACCAGAGAGCTGCGTCCTCACACCAGCCCTTCGCTCTTTACCTCGGCCTCAATTTACCTCACCCCTATAAAACGGAATCCCTGGGACCCACTGCAGGAGGATCCACTTTCCTCACTTCACCCTACTGGCTGAAAAAGGCATTTTCATTCCCTATTTTTTTTTTTTTAAATCCTCACTATTGCAAAACAATAGTGTATGTTTTTTATATAAATCACCATAAACAATTGTTCTTCCACACAGGTGTCTTCAGAGCTCATCACTGTTCCTAAATGGCTTCCTGTTGATGCCATGCACCCCGTCGACTTCTACTCCACCTTCACCAAAAACTGCAGCGGTGTTTTCACTGTGGAGGAAATCAAAAGCATAAGAGCCTTCTATTATGCCATGTGTGCTGAAGCTGATGCAATGCTGGGTTAGTTAGCAGAAGTAATTCACCAGGGGACAGACTCTTAAAGTAAAGGTAGTGGGTTTTCGTATCTAACTTAAGGCGCTAGCATAGTCTTTTGCACACCGTAATAGATTACCTAAATTGAAACCGAACTCTGTTGCAAAGATAACTAATGGGGCAGCCCCAAACCTACAAGAGCAGTCTTATTCTTACTGGATCTCAACGTGGACAAAATACCAAAAGTAGTAAAGTGAAGTAGTGTTAGAGAGTGACAGTGTTTCCATCAAAGCCAGCTATAAAACAAGGTCGAGCGTAACTTTAAATCGAAATCTATAAAATGTAAATTATTCAGAATATTTTAAACAGTATTTATTTTTTCTTCGGTGCAGCATGTAAGAACATATGGCCACTTTAACTTTAATTACTCTCAGTAAAACTCCCATGAATAAATAAATGCACAATGATATGTAAGAGAGATTGATTTTGAGTTATCTGCCATTTTGTCCGCGCTTCCTCACCCCTCCAGGTCAGGTGATTTCAGCTCTGAGAGAGACTGGCCTGCTCAACAACACTGTGGTGATCTTCACGGCTGACCACGGAGAGATGGCCATGGAGCACCGGCAGTTCTACAAGA